AAATTGGGTTTAACTCCAGTAATGTCAATGGAGATACACTGGTATAAGTGAGTGCCAAATAGGGTCAAAGATGTTTTGTGGATCTTCACCAATTAATTTCATGACTTCCAAAAATTTGGGGGCTAGAACCTTAGTGTGGCAATATTGACTTATACCAGCTGAGTTTCTGGGCTTTCATAGCTTCAACGTTCTCATGTTGTTGGTTGTTGTTGTTGTGTTTGTTTGTTTATTTGTTTTAATGGATATCTGTGTATAACCTGGACTGTACCTTTAACTTTTTTATCTCAGAGCTAGCTCCTGTACCATATTAAAACAGACTACACTCCCCCATGCACCCACACTCTTAAGATCTGCCCAAAGAATTCACTCAAGTTTATTTTTATGAGTTTGAAAGTTTTTACTTAGGGCTTGGCTACACTGGCGCTTTACAGAGCTGCAACTTTCTCGCTCGGGTGTGAAAAAACCCTAACCCTGTAAGCTAATCCCCTTGGGGGAGGTGGAGTACCGCGACCACACTCGCACTTCAAAGCGCTGCTGCGGGAGCGCTCCCATGGCAGCGCTTTGAAGTTTTGAGTGTAGCCACGGCCTTATTCTACCCATTTCCCCCATGATTGGTCAGATTGTACTTGGTTCTTACACAGGTGTGCCAGTTTGGGGGAGGGGAGAGGAGGGAAAGGACACAGGTAAGTCTGTGGCCTATGTGAGGACAAGACAGACTTCCAGTCCATGAGCCCCATGGGTGATTATGACTCCCTCTTTTATGCATTGGCCGGTGGATGTGAGCAAGCCGCAGTCTATGAAGGGGCAGCTGCCTCTGCCTTGCCTGCACTCATTCTTCCTTGAGCAGAATGCCTCCTGGGGCTGTCCCTTACGGTCACGCCTGAGAGCTGTACGGTTTGACGTGTAGCTGCTTTGTGAAGTATTTCTTGCACGTACAAACATTTTCATTACGACCAATGTGCCCAATTTTGAAAAGCAAATCTATTTTTTTTTTAACCATTGGAACGCAGGTGTCACTTTCTGTGATCATCACTTTGGTTCCACAAGATATATATATATATATTTTTGGGCCAGTTCTGCTCTTGGTTGTTTTGGTGTCGATATAATCACTGAGAGGTTAGTAAGGCACATTGTGAGCCAGACCTGCAGCTGGTGTAAATTGGTGGGGTTCCACTGACTTCAGTGGAGTGGTATCAATCTGTGACAACTGAGGATGTGGCCCACTGCACACATTTTGTCTTTTGATGTATCAGGTATTGGCCACTGCCAGAGGCAGGATACAGGAATGGATGGCCCTATGGCCTAATCCAGTATTGCAATCCCATATTTCCTTCCTTTGTTTCCATCATCTCTGGGATAGTAACTATAATGTCACATGTTAAATGCGTCTGACGAAGTGGATGTTCACCCACGAAAGCTTATGCTCCAATACGTCTGTTAGTCTATAAGGTGCCACAGGACTCTTTGTTGCTTTTTACATGTTAAATAGGGTATTGTGACCAGTTGTATGAACTGGAAAGAGAAGGGGGGAGAAAATGTTATGAAAAGGAAAAATTCTCCTCACAGCTACAAACCTTGGCTGATAATTCAGTCTTGGGAAACTACTATAGGAAAAACACAAACATCACTGTGCAAGTGTGTTTAATTATTGTCATTTACCCATTAGTACTGACTAGGAAATACTTTTATTTAAAAGTTGTCTCCACAAACATATGCAAACTGACGCCTTTAAAGAATATTCTTAAATACAGTTGAGTGGGCAGGGACAGAAAGGTATAACTAACTTGTCAAACTAACTTGTCACCCTTTTGTATGAGATTAATGTTTATTGATAAAGGTAATAGTGTTGATGTAATATATTTAGTCTTCTGTTAAGCATTTGACTTGGTACTGCATGACAGTTTGATTAAAAACCCCTAGAATGATATAAAATTAACATGGCACATATTAAATGGATTAACACCTGACTAACTGACACGTCTCAAAACATAATGGTAAACAGGTAGTTATTACTGAGCGGGTGTGATGCTAGTGGGGTCCCATAGGGATCAGTAAGTGGCCCTATGCTATATAATATTTTTATCAGTGACCTTGGGGAAACCAAAATCATCATTGAAAGTTTGCAAGTGACACAAAGATTGGGGGAGTGGTAAGTAATGAAGAGGACAGTCACTGATACAGAAAGAACTGGATAGATTGGTAAACTTGGATAGATTGGTAACTTGGATGCAAGCAAACAATACGCATTTTAGTACTCCCAAATGGAGGGACAGAAAATATAGGCCATACTATAGAATTGGGGACTCTATGCTGGGAAGCAGTGACTCTGAAAATGATATGGGCATCATGGTGGATAATCAGCTGAACAGAGCTTCCAGTGCAATGCTCAAGTAGGAGTAGAAGTTATTTTACATCTGTGTTTGGCAGTGGGGTGACTGCTACTGGAATACTGGGTCCAGTTCTGGTGTCCACAATTCAAGAAGGATGCTGATAAATTCGAGTGGGTTCAGAGAAAAGCCATGAGAATTATTAAAGGATTGTAAAACATTCTTTATAGTGATAGACACAAAGAACTAATCTATTAGTTTAAGAAAAAGAAGGGTAAGAGTTGACTTGATCACAGTTTATAAGTACCTACATGGGAAATAAAAATTGGAAAATGGGCTCTTCAATCTAGCAGAGAAAGGCATAGCAAGATTGAATGGCTGGAGCTGAAGCTAGACAAATTCAGACTGGAAATAAGGTGTAGTTATTTAACAGTGAGGGTAATTAGCCATTGGAGCATCTTACTGAGGGCTGTGGTGGATTCTCTATCACTGGCAATTTTAAAATCAAGAATGGATGTTTTTCTAAAAGACATGCTCTAGTTCAAATAGGAATTAAATCAGAGAAGTCAGAGGGCCTGTATTATATAGTAGGTTACATGCTCACAGTGGTCCCTTTGGGATTAAATCTATGAAAAATATAATGTCCCCACCCCAGGCCTCACAAACCCTGCAAAATCATAGGCAAACAAAACAAAAACCCCATGGCACAATAGTGAAGGAAACAAATGATCTTTAATGTACTGAACTAAGAAATAGGTGGAAACTTGAAAGAATCATCTTGGAAAATAAATAGAACAGTACAATTATTCATGCTGGAGAACAGTATTAATAAATATTTGTTCTTTAATATGTTAATATAATGCATTAGTATATCACTATACACAACTTAACGGCTTTTTGCCATCCTTGGGTCATATACTGCTTGCAGTCTTGAGCTTAATTTCCATTGATGTTATTGGGCTAAATTTTCAAAGGAAAGCACCCCAGCTCTGCCCACAAAGTATTCTTGTAGCTATACAAAGAGTTAATGTTACTGAAAAGCCGGTAGTTCCCGTTTATTTGCACACAAATATGCATTTCTCAGTTGGGATGCTTTCTTGGGTGCCCAGGAGTCAGAATCACCTTGTTATCCCCCTGCCTCAATGAGAGGAAGATTTGCTCATGCTTAACTGGGTGTCCACTCCCTGACACCACCAGTCTATTAGCCACCCAAACAATCTCCTGAGGGCTCTTTCAGCTCTTGCTTTGCCTTGCAAGGTTAATCAGAGGTGCAGAAAAATCCCTTTTGAAGTGTTCCCCTGTAGAGTCCAGACCCAGTCACTGGAAACTCACAGAAATTACCATCTAAGCTGTCCCCAGAGAAATAGTGCACACATCAGCTTGTTTGATTCAACTGAATGAATATCAGCTCCAATATAACATCACAGCACTGAGGTGTGTTTATAGTGAAAACAATCATAAGTTTATTATCAAAGGCTAAGATTTAAGAGAAAGTGAATAAGGACAATGATGAAAACACAAATGGTTACATATAAAACAAAAGTATAACATGTTTCTTAGATTCTAAACTTAACTATATCAGGCTAAAACCTCTGTCTAAAGTAGTTCATCTCACCTAAAGCAATTCCCCAGCTTCTTCAGCCAACCTGGCTGGGATCCCTCATTTCTGCAATGCATACAGAAAGCGCTGTCCTTTCTGCTTCCTCATTGAAGGATAACAAAATGTCCCCCCACCCCACCATATACTCCAGAATTCATTGTGTTGCTCGCAGAGTCAGGATGATCCCCTGTGGTTCATTCCCTGGTGTGCTGGCTCCATGTTGTATGCAAAATGCGGCTCGCTTTGTTGGCTTACAATGCGTAATCTACCGAGGGAGATACATCTCTTTGTCTGGCAAAAACCTGTTTGCCTACTCAGCCTGGGACACAGTCTCTAAAATATATTTTCAGTACATACACACACAACTCCTTAAATATCATCTGTAAGTACATCTCACAATGATTATGAGTATCAATATGACATAAGCTTTTATTAGAAACCTCACTTGACCCTTTTTCAGTAAGTGCTATGAAAGCAAAGTGTTAGGTGTAGTGAGTTTGTCAGGCCTGTCAAGAGTTACTGTAACAGAACAATGATCCCTTTGTCAGTTGGCATCGAGGGTTTTTAGGGTCACACCAATGAAGTTAGTTGTTTGCTCATTCATGCATATGTTTTATTGGCATAACTTAGATGCCTAGAAAAACTTATTCTTTTTAAGCATTTGCATTACTTATCTCATGTACAGACTTAGTAGTGGATGGAAATAGCTAAAAATTCTTAAGGGTTTAAAGGCTTAAATGGAAATGATTATTAAGGTTCAGAAATATTTGGGAAATTCTAAAAATGTGTTAAGTGAAAAATGGGCTAAGGGCCAGGGTTCAGACTCTAGTCTCCATTTTTGCGGGCATAACTGCCATTGCAAAATTGTGTTGGTAGTTACATGTAGCTACAAAAATGGAAGCCCAGTAAAGACTGACCTGAAAATTTGGCTCTAAAAAAAGACACTAGTTATTAATCATTTTAAGAGGTGCAGATTCTATTCTCCTGCATTTTAAAATCTGCTTTTTTCCCCTCTGCATTTTGTTTGGTCTTCCCAATTAACCTGGTTCATTTGAATTTTCTGTTTTGCTCAGATACCAAAAGATTAAAGTCAGATGCTCGTCTACAAACTGCCTAACCATTGTCCTTCACTGGCGAGATAAAAGGAAGAAGTCACGGAAAGAGAGGAACTACACCAGGCTTCAGATTTTGGACTATACGGCAAGACTCTGTAAGATACTCGGTGTTTTCTCCATTAGGGCTACAATGGAGACACTGTCCCAGGACTCTTTGCTGGAATGTCAAATTTGTTTCAATTATTACAGCCCCCGACGGAGGCCCAAGTTGCTGGACTGTAAGCATACCTGCTGTTCTGTTTGCCTTCAGCAGATGAGGACAAGCCAGAAGGACCTGAGATGTCCCTGGTGCCGAGGTATCACTAAACTGCCACCGGGATTTTCTGTATCCCAGCTGCCTGATGACCCAGAGGTGATTGCTGTGATTGCAATTCCCCATACTTCAGAGCACACCCCAGTCTTCATCAAACTTCCTAGCAATGGGTGCTACATGTTGCCCTTGCCCATCTCCAAGGAGAGAGCGCTGTTGCCAGGAGACATTGGCTGTCGCCTCCTGCCAGGTAGTCAGCAAAAGTCTGTCACTGTGATGACAATCCCAACCGAGCAGCAGCCCCTGCAAGGAGGGATCCCGCAGGAAGTCGGAGAGGAGGAGCAAGACAGGAGGGGCGTTGTGAAAAGCTCCACCTGGTCAGGTGTTTGCACTGTGATCTTGGTGGCGTGCGTCTTGGTCTTCCTCCTTGGTATTGTCCTCCACAATATGTCTTGCATTTCCAAGCGTTTCACTGTGATTTCCTGCGGCTGAAAAGGGTCTGCTCCCAGAATACTCTGATGGGATAATTTAGGGGTTGGGAAGGTGGTGGTGATGACAGGCTCGAGTGAGATGATGCACTGCAACATTGACCAATTACTACAGAATGCTTGATACCGGACAGCTGTTTGACTGTCTGAAGGCAATCCTAAAAGGTGAAATGTGAGACCTCTCAGCAGAGTACAGAGAAAATCATAATGAGCATCTGATGGTAACTGCATTGAGGAAGACTGCATGTGTCACCATCCTCATTGATCAAATGGACTGTAACTTCTAATGATTTTTATCATGTTATGAGACTAAAGACATCTACTTAGCTGGTTATACTGTAAAAGTATATGATATGATCACTCTGTCTTTAAATGCAGTAGATTAAACTCAAAATGCTATATGTATAAGTAGAATTAAACATGAGAATCAGTGTAAGACTCAGTAAAGATATTCCAATGCCAGTCCATACATATTTTTTTTAATGGGGGAGTGAAGGGGAACTGTAAAAAAAAAAAATTCATTTAGTTGGTAAGGCTTTTTATATATTTTAAATTGCACATTAATTAAAATAAGTTAGAAAGTTGCATAATAGTTTTTAAAAGGAAACATTTTACAAGCGATTGTATTTCGTATGTGATGTGTGTTTTGTCATATACTTTCATTTTGTTTCCACCTGTAGTGAAGTGTCCTTTCCAAGTGTTTTGTTAAAGCAAGATCCAAGCAGAGGAGCAATAAAGTGAACAAATAGGGCTACCTAAAAGTGCAGCCAAAAGCCTGCGGTGTAAGCCCTGTCATGAAGTATAGCTTTGAAGTGTAAACACTGGACATGCTGTTTCACCTCTGGTCTGTCAGGCAGGCTTCTCAAGGCTCTGGTCTCCCTGGGGATTAGTGAAGGGATGGGTCACAGAAGTGCTGGACATGCTTCCTGCAAGGACTGGATAGCAAATTGATTTTTAGACTATGGGACCAGCCTTGCCTCCATGTTCAGTCATAGTTGCAGCTGTGTCATTATTGACAGTAACTCTATGGATGCCTAGATGACTGAACAGAAATTGAGGTCTCATTGTACCAAGCATTGTACAAATATCTCAGCTCAAAGGGTTCATGCTCTACAAAGATAAGACAGACCAATGATGGGAAACAGGTTGAGCGGGGAAAGGGACTTGCCCAAGGTCACAGATCAGGTCAGTGGCAGGACTGGGAACAAAACCCAGAGCTCTTGAGTCCAAGACTAGTGCTTGATCCACTGGACCATGCTGCCTCTCCTAACCCCCTGAGTCACACTGGTGTAAAACCTGTGTGAGATCATAATCAGGCCCCGTGCCTCCTTTCAGTGATATAAACCTTGTTACTCTTAGGGCCAAATGTGAAACTTCCAAGAGGAAATGATCTATCTCTTACTGCATGTTGACATTACAAAGCCCCCGTGACTGCAATTCATTGTTCATAAAGGGCCAGATTAGGATACTTATGATAACACCTCACTTAACAAGAAAGTTCATCACCTTTTGTGGGACTTCTTGCGGAGTAAGGTATTCAGCATGAGTAAGGGTATCAGAATCTGGCTGAAAGTCTGGATTTGTTTGATTTTTTTTTTTTTTTTTTTAAGGGTCAGAGTGGGACTTGGGGCAGAAAAAAACTATTGGTTTGCCTGATTTGTATTGCTAGTATGAAGAATGGACAATTACACAGGTGTAAGCACAGTGAACAATGACCTCTAATCTATTACTAATATGCTTTCTAATAGTTAATTTGAGATGGTTCAATCCTATGTAATAACACTGGAGAACCTTGTTCCAACTGAGTTAGGCACATAAAAGAAGTCAGTGGTGTTGCACCAGTGCAACTGAGGAAAAATTGGCTCATTATGAACATCATTCTCATTCAAAAATAAAATACAGAGCACATATCTTCCTTAGTGGTAGATTCTCTCTTCTCTCTCCCGCTTTATGTCTGTTCTCTAAAGAATGGCATATATATGCCTGAGTGTTAAATTAGTATATGTAAGGTTACGCGTGAAGATAAAGTTCCTGGTGCACTGTGCCTGCTTTTATCTACTGTCATTTGTGGGGGCATAACAAAGAAAATACCCCAGAGGTGACACATTTGTTACCTCCTTTTTTCCACTAAGAAGAGCACATGTAGAACCATATTCAATATGCAGAGAACCTGGTTTACAAACGCTTATTATAAACATTCTGCACCTAGACTTCAGTGAAAGTGGGGTGTAATAGGAAGGAATATTAATTCCAAACGCATGCGGTATTAAAATTGTTAATCTGTATCATCGTCTTGTAAGGAAAACTCTATTTACATCCATGTTACATGTTAGCATGTAACGGAGCTGTAACCCGCTAATATTTCTGCCTTCAGAAGACTCCATGCTAGTATACAGTTAGAGGACATACTGCTCTACTGCCTCGCCCCTTGTAATCATCTACCCTCGCGGCACGTGAGGGGGGTGTGGGCGTGAAATGCTACCAGATCAGAATGGTGGCACTTGACACCAATTTTGCACTCACTGAGCACAAGCATAAATGGCTAGACAAGATGCAAGACAGTGGAGTAAAAGGCCCCGTGAGTACAATGCTAATAATATTAACATTGGAATGATCATAAAATGCCTAACTGAAGCTCTTGACAAAGCAGGTTCTCTTGATCTTTTCAAATAATGTCTCTCATAAAAGGTGCTGGTTTTCCTTCCCCACACGAAGAGTGTAGTTGGAAGGATAAATCAGAAATTAGGTTAAAATGCTACACTGCATAACACATTACACAACAGGCAAATATGGGGTTTAATCTGGTATTAATGATGTAGGCATCATCTGACTAGAACACCATACTGTATTACTTAACACAGTGCATTGTTTGGTTAGTGTGAGTTTCTTGTACTGTTCAGAGCCTGCTGAAATGCATGGCTGACCTAATTTCTGATTCTGATATTTGCCTGTTTTACAGTTTTTGTGTGAGTGCAATAAATAAAACCTCAAGATTTTTTGTGGGTTAACGCCTATTCAAAAATATAATTTTATGGGGGAAGTTTCTTCTTTGCTTTAGGCAGTGCGACTACCATTGAAATTTTGCAACCTTCATATCGTGTTAGATCACATAGCTTTATGCTGATGAGTGTAGAAATGAGCTGTAGTATATTGCAATGTACAGTGTTAGACCATTTCTCAAGTAGGTTGATATCCATACTTTAAAATGCAGTGTGATCTATTCCATTTTATATTTCTCAGTCCAAGACCTGGCATTCAGAAAGGAGACAGCTATCTATGGCTATGACTTTGCAAAATGTGCTAGAGAAATTATTCCCATGAAAAACATTTAAACTCACATAATATCCCAGTTCTGCACCAATTTCATGCCAAAATGATCAACTCCTGGGTAGGTTCTTAATCCTTGTATATCAGCGACTCTTTTGATCACTTCTCAGTTCTTGAAAAAGGAAGACAAACTTTTATTTTTTTATGGCATAAGTACTAGTCGAGCAAACATTATTTATACTAAATCTTGCCTGAAGTTATTTATGCACCTGCATTTTTGGACAAATTACCGTTTATGAAGGTTTATTATTTGTTTGTTTAACGGAGAGTACAGCTTCTTTTATTTTAAAGGTCTCAGCTTCCGTTTTGAGCTTGTGCTTTGCTGGGAGTCAGAAATAGGATTCACTTTGTGAAAGTTTGTTCAGTGAATTTTACAAATTCAAAATATGCAATTTTGGTATGTGCGATTTTTTTTTAGAAAATTGTGTATTAAGTGATCTTGCTTAGACGATATGGAAAGAAGCATGGTAGTTTTGTAAACAGGGAGCAATCGTGAGTCTAAAGTTTCATCTTTATTAATGAAGGTTGGTATGAATAAAATATTAGCAGGAATAGAATGAATACATCAAGTGAGTTATGGTTTCTCTAGTCCTTCACCTTAAAATGAACAGCACAGTGAGTAACTCAGTGGAATTATTTTGTATTCACACTAGTGTAACCAAAACTAGCATTTGGCTGTGTTCCTCAAGACAAATTTTTTAAGTATGGGCTGTGGAAAGTTTTCAAAAGGGGTGTGTGTGTATGTGTGTGTGTTGGGGGGTAGTAGTTTTGTTGTTGTTGTTAAATAGTTGATTTTTGAGTAGAAATTACATCTGATGACCACAGAGCTACAAAGATTTTCTTTTCTGTTTCAAGTGATTTAAAATTTGTGAGTGAATTTATTCCTTACAAAAGTGAGATATTACTGGCATTAGCCTGAGCATGTATTGTGCAGGCAGGTATGCGTCACCTCCCTGCCCACCCCAATCATGCTAGTGCTCCTTAATCCAGATCAGCCAACCCCTATCCCCCGCTAGTGTTACAGGCAAGACTTTTCTTGAATGGAGATTATGCATGTAACAAATCCACTGCAAAATAAGCAAACACGGTGAGGATGAGATCAAACAATTTATTTTCACTTGTGACTGATACATGATTTGAATCTACTATAAGCCTACACTTTATCTGGATTTTTTTTGTGTTAATACCTATTGCACTAAGGTAACATTGTGACCTGTTCATCAGTGATTGGCCAGAATCAAAAATTCCAGATCTAAACACGCTTCTGTGAATTCAAGCTATATTACAACACAATAAGTCATACAGGAGACATCCATATGTCTAGTAAATACATTTAGTGGAATGCTTCCTCTTGCCAGCTGCCCAGAGTATGTGGTTTTAAATTTGGGGTTTTCTTTCTTTTTGGGGGGAATGCATGATGACAAATGAATCCAAACATCACCCAGGAGGCTATAAGGATTCATATACAGTTAAAGCAAAGACCTTTATGTTTGAGTATTTAGCAGAGCAAGATTCTACTGGAATGCTGCAATGGAATTACAGCATATTAATGACCTTTCCTTTCCTTTACACTGTCCTCAGACCTGACAGCTGGGATTGTTCTTCTTTCTTTCTCTCTGTCACGTTAACATTTTGCATGCCAGTATTGACCCAAGTCAAACTACACTGCTTGTTTCACGCTTCTCAAATTGAACGGCGTTAGCTGACATTTCTCAAACTGCCCTTAGCATCTTTAGCAAATGAGCACTTATGTGTTGTCTAAGCAGTTGAAATTCAAAGCCTTATAAATGTCCAGGGAATGGATTTTTACAGCATTAAATTAATGCTTCAGTAAATATCTCTTTATTTTAGATCTAAACATTAGGTAAATTTTCACTAAGCAGTCTCCTAAACACCAGAAGCAGGGATTAGAGAGGATTCACACACACACACACACACACATTAATATCACATTGAAGCCAATATGTATACAGGTAAAGTGAGGACTTATGTGTGCTCATGGGAACATGAGAGGGAGGAGGGTTTTGAAAGCTGAGGGGAGCGCGTGTACACACAGAGCGAGGCTCAGAAGACTATCTGTTACCTAGGATTGAGAGGATCATTAGTAACCAAGAATGGACGAATGCTGTATGGCTATATTGGGGGTGTTGTACACCCTGAGGC